CGCTCTAACCACTGAGCGACACCCACAAGGGCGTCAAGTTAACATTCTAATGGATAAGTACCACATACTGCATACAAGCTTATCCAGCTCTCTCTCTCCGGCTCTGCTTCCAGTTCTAGGAAAGAGAATCTGTTTGACCAATTGGGGTCAAGGATCGACCCCTTCAAGGGGTGATCCAGCAGAAGTACAGCTGCGGAGGTCACCGCTGTAGACGGATGGTTCTTTGTGCCAGGCCCTGGGCTGGGCACTGGTGATGCGGAAATGAGCCAACTCCCACAGCCCTCTCTGATAACATTTGAGCTGGATCTTGAAGAATGAGTAGGAGTTTGTCCGGTGAAAAGGTGAGGCAGGGTGCCATCGGTGAGGCTGCAGAGTCTGACTCTCAAGCAAGAACGCCACAGAAAGAGAAGGAACTGGCCAACTCTGTCTCTGTGCAGACGGAGAGCAAGAATGCCGAGGCACGAGGGGTCCCAACGGGGCACAGTGCTAACATGGTTTGTTTGCATTTGATACGCATCACACCCCCTCCTCTTCCTCGTACTGCCACCACTCACCCCTCCAATGACCGGGCTGAGGCTGGTGACAGAGTTTTGTTTTATTTGCAAAGCAGGGCCCTTGGCTGCTCCAGGCAAAGAAGTTAGGAAGAGAAAAAGAGGAGATTTGGTGGCAGCCCCTCAGTCTCCACGTGTTCATTCCCCTCTACTGGGAGCACCTGACTCCAACTGCACAGGAGCTCAGGAGGAGTGATGGATATGCTGCCCCTGAAGTTTGCAAACGTGAAGGAGGCAGGCAATGGGATGTGACAGAGTTCCATACGAGGAATGGCTACATGAGAGGACTTGGCAGGGAGAGAGAGACAGAGAGAGAGAGAGAGAGAGAGAGAGAGAGAGAGAGAGAGAGAGAGAGAGGGAGAGAGAGAGAGAGAGAGAGACTGTGCTAGCTCTGCAAGGGTTTTATGTGATGTGTGCAAAGTCCCAGGCTGCTTTCCTTCCCCACCTCATTCTTTGCTGCCATTCCCCAGCCTCACACCCTCTCCTCACTCCTGCCCCCTTCACAGTCCTCTCGGGCCTAGCAGCTTAGCGGCAGACAATGCTGAGGCAATTAACAGAGCCCTTTGAGGACTTGTCACTAGAAAGCTCTTTAACTCAGCCACCTGAGTTGGGGCCCCAGGCATGTGACAGGGTGGGGGAGGGCAGCTGCGTGGGTGGGGAGCAGAGACATAATAGAGAAACAGGGTCGGGAGGCCTAAATTGCAGGGGCAAATAGATGATATGGACACAGCAGCAGTCATTGTTTTCACTGTTTGTGGGCTGTCTCTTGCTAGAATTTGGCTGTGCGGATTTGCTGCAGAACCGAGAGCCGAGAGGCAAGATATTAATCAAACCTGCTGACTACATGGACTGTCACAGGAAAAATGCCTCTTTAGGATGTAGGCCCCTTAGAGAGGGGACACTGTGTGTGTTAAGGGTGGAGTGGAGTGGGAGGTAGCATGTCCTTAAATCTTCCTACCCCCACACTGTGCTTCTTTTGGGGCTCGGGAGCTGGCAGGGAAGGAGCTACACAGGGACGGAGAGGATGAGGAGAGAAGAGGAACCTGGGTCTCCAGGCCTGTCTCTGCCTGTCTCTGCCTTCATGGCGTCTCACACAACCATTGTCTGTAGCCAGGGCAGGCAGGGGCAGCAGAGGCCCAGATGCTGATGTGGATCCTGGCTCCAGCTGTGTATAATGTGTGTTTGTGTGTGTGCGGGGCTTGCCCTCCTGGCTCTGGAGGGCCCTTACTCCTAGACAGGTAGTCGTCTCTCAAAATTCCTTTAGGTTTTGAACCAGCTTAGGCTTCGGGCCTTCCAGTTCCTCTGACCACCACTAGAGGGCAGCAGTCAACACAGCCAGGCCCAGAGAATGTCAGCTGACCACACACGCACCCACCAGCCTTTAAAAAAAATTTTTTTTAATTGATTTTTCTTTTACAGAGAGGAAGAGAGAATTAGAAACATCGATGAGAGAGAAACACAAATTAGCTGCCTCCTGCACGCCCCCTACTGGGGATGTGTCCTTGATCGGAATTGAACCTGGGACCCTTGAGTTTGCAGGCCAATGCTTTATCTACTGGGCCAGATCGGTTAGGGCCCATGCAGCCTTTTCATCCCCTTCCCAGCCCCTGGGGATGCACTGGCCCCAGCCACAAAGGCCACTGGGACACAGAACCAACTAACTTGACTGTCTGTCCCTGGCCTTGAGAGCAATGAAGGTGTAAGTGTGTGTGAGTGTGAGAATGTGAATTAGTGAAGATGCTGGAGGGGACCAAAGGTGAGGGGAGGTGGCCAAAGACAGAACATGGAGGCATGTTCATAAGCTCTTATAAGTATAAAGGTAGAGGGAGAAGGAGAGCCAGGTACCAAGCTGTCTGTAGGGAGATAAAGTAGGACCCAGCACACTGGTCAAATGGCTCGTGATGACTTGGAGGCAGAATTACCCAGACAGCAAAGGCAAGTGGCTTTAAGAGATCAGAGAAAACCACATGGCTCATTAGGGGTTTATGTGGAAGCTACATCATATAGGCATGATTGATTATTAACTCTATCTCCAGCCCCTTTGTCTCTCCCTGGAGGGTGGGGATTGGGATTGAAAGTTCCAAGCTTCTAGTCATGGCTTGGTCTTTCCCATGACCAGATCCCATCTGAAGCTATCCAGGAGCCCACTGATAGTCCTTTCTTAGAATAAAAGATGCTCCTATCACCCAGGAAATTCTAAGGGTTTTAGGAGTGCTGCGTGAGACACTGCTATCAACTCCACCACTGAGGAAATTACAAGCGTTTTGGGAGTTCTGTGTCAGGAACTAGGGGGCAGAGACCAAATATCCTATCTATCAAAAAAGTAATATTGCTGAAACCGGTTTGGCTCAGTGGATAGAGCATCGGCCTGCAGACTGAAAGGTCCCAGGTTGGATTCCGGTCAAGGGCATGTACCTTGGTTGCGGGCACATCCGCAGTAGGGGGTGTGCAAGAGGCAGCTGATCGATGATTCTCTCTCATCGATGTTTCTAACTTTCTATCCCTCTCTCTTCCTCTCTGTAAAAAATCAATAAAATATATTTTAGTAAATAAATTAATTAATTAATTAATTAAGCGTAATATGCAAATCGACCATCACTCTAACCACAAGATGGCTGCCCTCATGTGGTCAAAGATGGCTGCCCCCATATGGACACAAGATGGCCAGCAGGGGAGGGTGTTGGGAGGGACCAGGCTAGCAAAGGAGGGCAGTTGGGGGCGAACAAGCCTGTAGGGGAGAACAATTAGAGCTTGTCTCTCAAAATTCCTATAGGTTTTTAGATGAAGCGCTATGGTCTTGATGGGATATTAATTCGAATATGTAGATCATTTTGTGGATGGGGTAGCTGGGGCCAAGGAAGGTTTAGGATGATGCTCTAACCAACTGAGCCACCCAGCCAGGGTTTACCTTATGTATTTTTTATCATGGTAAATGGTAAATGAAGTTTATCATTTTAAGTGTACAGTTTGGTGGCATTAAATACATTCACACTTGTAGCACCATCCGTCTCCAGAACTTTTCATCTTCCCATTAAACACTAACTCCTCGTAGCCCTCTCCCCTGCCCCAGCCACCATTTTACTTTCTGTCTCTGTGAATTTGTTCACTCTAGATTCTTCAAGGGAGTGGAATCATGCAATATCTGTCCTCTCATGTCTGGTTTATTTCGCCTAGCATAATGTCTTCAAGGTTCGTCCATGTTGTATCAGATGTCATAATCGTAGGTCTTTTTAAGGCTGAGTAATAAATATTTCATAGTATTTACTCACCACAGTTTGCTTATCCATTCATCTGTTGACGGACATGTGCGTTGTTTCCACCGTTTGACTACTGTGAATAACGCTGTTATGAACATTGGTGTACAAATACCTCGTTGAGTACCTGCTTTCAATACTTGTTGGTATACCTAGGAGGGGAGTTGCTGTAATTCTATGTTTAATTTCTTAAAGGTTATGTACTTATTTTTATGCATGAAAAATACTATTCGGAGACGAGAAGCATGCCATGTACGCACTCTGTTTTTGCATGCCTGTCTCGGCCACTAGAGGGGGGACTTCTTTGACAAGGGCTGCCGGGCCCCTCTGGCCACTTCAGTAACTCGCAGAGTTAATGTAGTTAATGTCGTAAATGCATTCAGCGCCCAGTGGGCGCCTTGCATAGCCTGCACTAGGCGAGTTGTAGGCGTTACAGAGGTGCAGACTGTACCCCAAAGGAACTCAGCCAGAGAGAGATTTAGGCTCAAGGATGACGGACCAAAGGCGCCCTAACTCCTGCCTGTACGGCTTTCCAAATTTATAACCTGAGCCAAAGTAAACCTATCCACGAAATGATCTACATTATCGAATCAATATCCATCAAGACCATAGCGCCTTAAAAAAAAAGAAAGAAAAGAACAGCGTCTCGCCTAACACAGTGCCTGGGAAAAAAGTTAGGCATTCAACAGTTCTGTCCCCGTTAATCTGCGGGGCAAGAAAAAGCCTGGAGAAAACCTGCCTGGAGGCTTCTGGACCGGCGGGTGGGGGGAGAGGTGAGGTCAGGGGGCCCTCCCCTGCCCTGCACCCCTCTCCAGGCTGGCGCGGGAGTGCACCGGGAGGGGCCGAAAGTGGGCCTTCCGAGCCCATCTCCCGGCGCCGCATCCCCGCCGCTCGGGACCGTCCCGCTTGCCCGGGGGTTGCATCACCGACCTCGGTGCAGCCCCGGGAGCCTGGCGACCCGCCCGCGTGCACAGCGAGGAGCAGCTGCAGTTGGCCCTCCGGCCCGGCGGGCGGCGCTGCTCCAGACCCGGCCGGGGCGGCGCTCGGGCCCGGCTCCTCTCGGCGGCGGCGGCGCACGGCGGTCCTGCCGTCCGCGGGGCGGGGACGCGGTAGCGGTGGCGGCGGCGCCCTGTAGTCCGAGCCCGAGCGCGCAGGCCCCTCCCGGCGGTCGGGGGCCGGGCGGGGCGGGGGCGCCATGTGGTTCATGTACGTGCTGAGCTGGCTGTCGCTCTTCATCCAGGTGTCCTTCATCACGCTGGCCGTCGGTGAGAGTGCGCGACCCCAGCCCGCGGGGCTCCCTCCCTCCCTCTCTCCCCGGCGGCGGCCGCCCCGCTGGGGCGCCGGAGCTCCCGGAGACCCCCGCCTGGTGCTCCCGGGCCTCGCGCCCCTCCTCCGGCCCCGCCTGGTCCTGCCCCTCCCGCTGGCCCCGGCCGCCCGCCGACAGCGGGTCCTCCCCGGGGTCACCGCCGCCGCCCGCGGCGCCGGGAGTGGCTCTCTGCGCCCCGCGGCGCCCCGCCTGCCGCCGCCGCGCCCACCCTCCCGCCGACCGCGCCGAACTTCCCTCCGACTTCCGCCCGCCCTTTCGCCTGCGGGCTCGGCCTTCGAACTTTTTACTCTTTTAACTTTGACCCGCTAACCCCCTTCTGGTGGGTTCCTACTGGAGATCTCTGCAGAGATCTCACCTCCTCCGGGAAGCCCGCCGTGGGATTTGATGGCCCTCCGTTCCCTACAATAGCACTTGTCCCCCTGGAATCCTCGGATTCCCCTCCTCCCCCGGACCCCCACGCTCACCCTCTAGCTGGGTCCGAAAGGGACATTGTCTTTGCTGCATTCGCAGCACTCAGCCGCCCAGCACCTGGCCCATATGGAGTGCCGGGCAGATATTGACTGAATGAGCGGAGGAAATGCCTCTGTATGGGGTCAGAGGTTAGCAGAGTGCTGAGGCATCTGATACAGGGTTTTTCCACTTTCTCTGCTTCGTTGCCCTGATGATGAAGTTTTACTTCTTCAGACTTTGGAGGGCAGCGCGTGGGTTGTTGGGTTTGTTCCTGGACTTCTGGAGTCCATGAAGGGTCAGGGGGACCCAGCTGCAGGGAAAGGGGTGACAGTGATGGCTGGAGTGACCCTGGCAAATGTTCTCTCCGCTTGATCCTCTTCTTGTCCACCCTTCCCACCCTCCCAAGCGGCCGGACTCTATTACCTGGCGGAGCTGATAGAAGAGTACACAGTGGCCACCAGCAGGATCATAAAATACATGATCTGGGTAAGTGGCCTCTTCCCCCAGGTTCACCCACTAGCTTCACCCTCACCTATCGCCCTGCCTCAAAAAGAAGCAGCGGGGAAAGTGGGGTATGGATGATCAGACCTTGATCCCTGCTGTTTCCTGAGGGTGCCGCCCCTGTATCTTGCCCTGTTTTTTTTTTTTTTTTTTTGGGGGGGGGAGGCAGGGGGGGTTCTGCTTCCTGGGCCCAGGTCTTTGCCTCCTTCCCCAAGTCGCATTGCTTCACTGCAGACCCCATTCTCTGTCTCTTAAGGCGACAGCTGAGTGCTCATTCTCTGTGGACAGGACCGTGGCTTTGCCTTTGCTTGGCTGTCTTCCACTGTCCCTAGCCCCTCGCTCTGCTCACAGCATTTAGAATGGAGAGGACCCTTAAGGACAGTTTTGAGTGCTTGCTCATTGCCCTCTTTCTCATTGGATCGAGGGATTGGTCCTAAGAGGGAGATACCTTCCCTGGCCCGACCCTGCCCTCCCCAGGTCTCACGGAAAGTTTCTCTTTCTGAAGGCACAAAGCCTTGATGTCCAAGCCGCAGGAGTGACTGCTGGTGGATAGAATCCTGCCAGCTGCAGGAAATCTGGGGGCGGGGGCAGGAGCACATGTGGATGGGAGCCCAGTGCCTCTCAGGTCACCAGGTGTCAGCAGCCACTTCCACTCTGAGCCTGGCCTGAGGTGGGGAGTTAGTGGTGGAGACAAGTGGCGGCTCTCGGCTCATAGGCGTTGGTACAGGAATTTGATTTTAATTTAACCAACTGTCCTTTGTTAAGCACTGGCAGCTAAGTCCTTCCGAACAGCGTTTTCACACTGCACGTATGATTCACTATTGGGTTGTGTGACCAGTTCATTTGGTCATAATTTAGCCTAAAAGGTGGACTAGAAAAGACTAGAATTGAAATTTGAACTTGGATCATACGTGTGTGTGTGTGTGTGTGTGTGTGTGTGTGTGTGTGTGTTGGGGTCAGTGGAAACGTTTTCTTACTGTGGGTTGCCGTCAAACATTTTGAGAATGGCGTTGAAAGATGCTTACCTTTTAAAGATGCCACCCGAGAGGCGAGGTGGGGAGATCAGACCTGGGACTGAAATGAGGTGAGACTGAAGCATGAACCTAGCGTTGCCCCAAGCGGGCCGGGGGCTGATGAGTCCAGGAAGACTGCCTGGAAGAGGCTGCCTGCACTGTGTGCCTCTGGTTGTTTCAGTTCTCCACGGCTGTGCTGATTGGCCTCTACGTCTTTGAGCGCTTCCCTACCTGCATGATTGGCGTGGGCCTCTTCACCAACCTCGTCTACTTTGGCCTCCTCCAGACCTTCCCCTTCATCATGCTGACCTCGCCCAACTTCATCCTGTCGTGCGGTGAGAGGGGGCAGAGTTGAGGAGGCAACTGAGGTAGTTGGTTGTGCCCAGCCAGCTCGTGGCACCGAAGGGGTTCTAGAGGGCAGAGGCAGAGCGCCGAGGTCCTCAGCACGTGTGAGAAGCCTAGAGCCCACCTGACTCACGTGACTAGAATTTGGTGGGAGTGGGGGGCGGGGTGCTCAGCAGGGAGGGCTTTCGCAGGGAGGTGAGTATGAAGACGGCTTGGGATAGAGAAAAGGTGGGCTTGCTGAGTACTTGGAGCCCCTAAGAAACTACTTGTTCAGGGAAAGTTCAGCAGGCGGGCAGCTCCCCATCCGGTCCTCTGGCTCAGCATTAGGACTGTAGTTTCGTGGAGCTGGGGGCGCCCTGCTCACAGCCTTGGGGTTGATGTATGTGTTGGGAGGACCCTGCCCTTCCGGCCTTTGTCCTGCCTTTGCCCTGACCCTAGAGAATCATTTCCCCTGTCTGGGCCTTAGCCTCTCCTTTTGATCTGCGGGCTCAGTTGGCATAAGCAGATACTTAGAGCTATTTGTAGGTTTTCACAGAAAAGCTCTGGGAAGTTTTCGGTTACCAGCATTGCCCTTTCTCCCAGTAATCATTATGGGTCATCCTAGCCTTCGGTCAGGACATCAGGTGGAATTGGGGATTTTATAGAACTACTTTTCTGTTTCTGTGGGAGAAGCTGGGGAGAATATTATCCACAAGGAGGGCACAGTGTGGAAGCTAGACCTGGTCTCTTCTCCGCGTGCCTTTGGTATGATTTTGCCAAAGGCCTTTGGTTGGGGAACCCTTCCCTGGAGACCAGGCCCTTTTGCGTCCTCCACCCCAACCCTCCACTCCTGCCCCAAGCAGCAGACCGCCCTTCAGGTGCCTTAGTTTTTCTGAAAGATTTTGTGGGCATAAGGCACCATCCCGCCTTCCAGCATCTCCTAGCGCTCCAGTGCTTAGGCAGGGTGGTGGCGCGGTGTCTGCCTTGGAAGGGAGAGGCAAGGGAGGAGAGGAGATGTGCCGGTTGGCTGAGAGGTGTCTGTGACGGGTGCTCATGGGGATGCTTTGTCCTGGTGCCTGCCCTTGACCAGGCTGGGGTCAGGCTGGGGTGCCTGTCTTGAGCAGCCTGTCCCCAGGATCTGCTCTTTCTCTCCCCCATACCCCAATAAATTCGGCTGCACACTAAGGAGGTTTGTGGGGTCCAGAACATAGTTTAGACCAGTGGGCCTCGCCTGGGGGCAGTTTAAGGAAAGACCCTGTCCACCAGAATTTTGAGGAACCCTCAGACTGCACCCCCAAAATGTCTAGCAAACTGTGCCCTTTTATTCTTGAGGAGTGCTCTTCATTTGAGGCGTCCTCTCTCTGCTGCCGAGTTTGGAGTGGATCTCAAGGGAGGATGTGACCTCACACTGTGACTTCCTCCTCCCACTGCCCACAGGAGAGCCTGTAGGACTCACCGAAAGCCAGCTTAATGGTCCTGGGGCTTTGGAGGATGCGGCACCGACGTCTCTTTTTTATAACATTCCCAGGGCTTCCCCTGCCTTCTGATTTTACTCATAGACTCCCTCTGCAGTGGGCATCTATGAATAACAAATGGAAAACTGAGTCCGGTGTAAAGTTAAGACTAAAACTCAGGGCTCTCAACTCTCCAGAGCCTTTTGAAAGTGAAAAGTCTGGCTTCTATGTTATTCCGCAGACTAACAGACTCTCCATTCCCTCAACAGGACTAGTGGTGGTGAATCATTACCTAGCATTTCAGTTTTTTGCGGAGGAATATTATCCTTTCTCAGAGGTAAGAAGCGTTTAGTACATCACACTCTTAACAGGGCCAGAAGGATAAAGGCGACTTGCATGATTTGCTTAGTGAACCGAGCTATGATTTGAAACTGAGCCTATTGAGGGATAACTCTTTGTTTAAAACTTAGTGTAGATGGTTTTAGAAAGCGGTGTGGAGGAGGAGCAGGGACCCCTTTGGCTGAGATGGGGAGACGCGGCTCTCCCCTCGTGAGTCCTCTGGGTCTCCCAGGCTCCCAGCCTAACGCCCGGAGGTCAGGAAGGGAGGGTGGAGGGGCCTCGTGTGATGCAGATTTCACAGGTCAGGTGGGCTGCAGCCCCAAACCCTGGTTCCCCCGTGCCCTGCCCAGGCCTTCTGCTCTCAGGCTTTTCCATGCCCTCCCACTGCAGTCCGGACCCCTGGGGGAGAACAGAGCGCTTTGGGATGTGGGGGTCAGAGAAGTCCCCATCCCAGCGACCAGTGATTGGGGATTGTGGCTGCATGAGTCCTCCTCAGCCCGCACCTCTCCCCACTGTCCTGTCTCCATGCGAGAGGATGTTCTGTCTCTGCTTTCAGAGACCAGGTGTGGGGCCTTCTGTGCAGCCTTGACCACCTCTCTCAGATACAGCACCTCCGGGGGCACCTTCTCAGTGTCTCTCGTTGCTAGGTCCTGGCCTATTTCACTTTCTGTCTGTGGATAATCCCGTTTGCGTTCTTCGTGTCCCTGTCGGCCGGGGAGAACGTCCTGCCCTCCACCGTGCAGCCAGGAGGTGAGAGGCCTGTGTGTGGGGTCTCGGTGGGGGGACGCCAGCAAGGCCCGAGGTGGCTGGGGGAGCCGGAGCCCAGCCCTGTGACCGAGACGCTCGGTTTCCGGTGGGGAGGGCTGTGCTCCCTTCCAGACACACACACACTCACCTCCCTGCCCGTGTCTCCGCAGATGACGTGGTCTCCAATTACTTCACCAAAGGCAAGCGGGGCAAACGCTTAGGGATCCTGGTTGTCTTCTCCTTCATCAAAGAGGCCATTCTACCCAGTCGTCAGAAGATGTACTGACGCCACGGGGAGGGGATGTTGGGGCGAGATCAGGAGAGCCGGGCCCCCGGGCCTCTCCGTGAGCCTGGGAGGTTCCGTCCCCCAGCCCTGGCCTGACTTCCTGCAAGTCTCCCCGGAGCCTCCATCCCCACCTTCCTCGGGATGCTCAGCTGGGCTCAGATCTGATGCTGCTAGAGGCCGTGACCTCAGAGGCACCAGGGCAGGGGCGGAGCCTGCGTGGCTGGAGGCCGAGGCCCACCTGCCTGTGTACAAGCTGAGCTCCGTGGCCTGCCCCACCCTTCCACGCTGGGTCAGGAGGCGCTGGGTCCGTCGAGGTGGGCAGGGCAGGGGCCTTGAGGCTGGAGAGCAGACAGGGATAGAGTCTTTGGGCAGATGGATGGCCCACGGGGCAGGGCCATGGCTTGGCAATTCCCAGGAAATAGTTTTTGCTGTTGAACTGTGATTCCTGTCCAAGTCTGATACAGTTTGAATAAAGATTCTAGGTGGCACTGTTGCCTTAATCCCCTGAAGGTTCATCTTCCTTTCTTCCTGCTGACCTTCTGCCCCGGCCTGGACTGGCTGTTCCGCGCCAGGGGTTCCTGTTCTGGGACTGGCCTTGCTTTCCGAAGGGACTGTTCTTCGTCCCTAAGTGGGAAGGGGCAGAAGGAAGAGCTGAGCCTGGTCAGGGGGTGGGGAGTGGCAGGTGGATGCAGCCTTTCTTCTGCTCCCCCACCCCGTCTTTTCTTCTATCTCTTCTTTCCCTAAGGCTCCAGGACTGTCAAATGGGGGGGGGGGTGAGAGGGCGGGGGGTGTGCAGAGAGCGAGCCAGCAGTTTGGGACTGGGTTAGATTTTCAGAGCAACATCTACAATGCCCTATTTATAAGTCTTCCCCTGGAGAAAAGGAGTGGTTTCTGGCAGAATTCTATGTCAGGCTCAAGGAGAAACAGAACGCAGCTGCCAGCAGTCTGGGCCACAGCCTGTTTTTTCAGAAATGGGCCCAGTGGAGGGAGCCGTGCGTCGCCGAGAGCACCCGGGCCTGGCCCTCTTGTCTGTGTGCTCGGCCCCTGAGGAGATGGCCTCAGGCTTCTGAGAAGGCAGGCGAGGTCCCAGGCACAGATCAGCACCTGTTAACCTTGCACTCCCAACTACAGTGCCTTGCAGACCCTCAGCAGTCCATCCTGGAATGAAGTCCCCACGAGAGCCGTTCCTGGCCATGTCTTATACCTCACAGCCAGGGTAGCAGGTGCAGCGATGGGCTGCACACGTAGTATCTCTGAGTCCCTGTGCTGCACATCTTTCCTCCACATCCCGCCTCAGGTCCCACTGCAGCCCTTCACTTCCTTGGCTCTTGCGTCTCCTGTTCTCTCTCAACACTACCAGCCTTCCCCCTGCCCTGGAAGGAGCAGCAAGCACGCCCGGGTCTTCTCAGTGGGAATTAGATCGCCAGGCCCCTTCATCCTATGCAGACCAGGGGGGCCACAGCTGGCTCTGCTCTCCCTCACTGTCCTCCGTTCCTCACCCTGAGGACGGGCTCCACCTCCTCCTCCATTCGCTCCTCCTCCATTCGCTCCACTCTCCGTGCTCTTGCGGGGTTGCCGGTGGTCTCCTTGTGCAAATCCAGTGAGCCCTTCTCACCCTCACTGGTCTCTGCAGCATCCGACAGGGCTGACCACCCCAGCTCCTTGAGCCGCACTTCTATGGCCGTTTCTCCTCCTACCTCTGTGGCTTCTTCCGGCGTCCTATGCAGGCTTCTCCACTCGCCCGTGCAGTGGGGTTTCTCAGGGTCCTGTCCTGGGCTCCCAGGAGGAGCCCGTCCACGCTCATGGCTTTGCCTCTTTGCCAAGGAAGGGAGAGTTGACTTCCAGCCCCAGCACCCCTCCTGGGCTTCTGAACCGGTTCTGCCGCCTTTGGGTGCACAAGCTCCTCTCACAGCCCAGGGGGCACCTGCCGTCCTCTGTGAACCTGCCTCTTTTGGGTACCTGCTGTGGCCCCAGGATCACTCGGGAGCCAAAACAGAAACCTGCTTTTTATCCCTGCTTTCTCCTTTTGCCCCCCGCATCCAATCTCTGAAAACTGTCAAATTTGCCTCTTTAATATCTGATTAGAGCCACTCCCATTGTCATCAACTTTCACCTGGGTTATTGTGACAGCCGCCTCCTGCTTCTCTGTCCCACAGCTAGAGTTGTCTTTCTAAAATGCATTGTAGATCAAGTCACTTCCTGGCCTGCAGCCTCCCATGGCTCCCCTCTGCCTTCAGGACAAAATCCAGACCCTCAGCATGGCTGTGAAACACGCGGTACCTGCTTCCCACTCGCCTCTCTGGCCCCATCGCTTGCCATCTTGCACTCTGGCCCCATCGCTTGCCATCTTGCATCTGAGTCCCTGTATCCAGAGGTGCCACTTTGATTCCCCTTCTCTTCACCAGGGCGTCTTTGATAGTTCTCAACTTAAGATTTAACGTCGTCCAAGGAGCTTTTAAAATCCCCTCCCCCGGCCCACTCCAGCACACCACACACATCACTGTGGGCTTACTTGCCCATGTACTGGTCTATCTCCTTACTAGACTGTAAGCTCCTTGAGGGCAGGGACTGTCCTTCAGTTTTTGTATCAACAGCGCCTCGCTTGGTGCCTGGCACATAGAAAGCACTCAATAAATGTTTGTTTAATGAATGATTTGTGGTGATGTGTACAGTGGATAGCAGGGGGTGCAGGCTAGCTTCCTGGAGGAAGTACAGGTGTGTTCATAGTCTCAAACTAAAGCCATGGGTCCTTCCTTCTTCCCCCCCACATGCCCCTGTGCCTCCCTGCCCTACGGAAACCACAGTGGCAGGGAAGCCATGGGCAGGGTGTCACGTTAGCCATCTTCCACCCCCTTCTGGCTCTGGAGGTGAAGCATGAGGCCTGGGGTCCGTAGTAGAAGGACTCAGTCTGAAGAGGAGGCACATTTCCCAGTGGTTCCTCTGCCTGTCCCCGGTGCCCTGTTTGGAGGGAGGTAGGAGCAAAGGGGACACCAGAATGTTCCTTTCACAATGCCAGCGCTTAGGATACAGACTGACCCCCACTCTGAGCTCTGGGCTGCTGCCCTAATTTGAATCTCTTGGGTGGGTCCCCAAGGATCTGGGCTTCTGTTGGGGGGCAGGGGCTCTGATCTTTCATCCTGGGAGTGGGAAGCCCGAGGGTCTCTTTGCCTTATTCCCTGTCCGCAACATAAATGACCACACCTCAGCCCTCCACTAGGCTGCCCCAGCTCGAGAGGCTACCAAAATAAGTTTATGTGGGGAAGCGGGTGTTTAGGGGCAGGGCAGAATGGGGAGCCCTTGGTGGGCTTGCACTGTTGCCACGAAGGTGTCATCAAACGTTTCACGTAAGCTCATGGCCAGAGTGTCGGTCCAGAAAGTGTTGTCGCCCATGTGCCGCTTCCGGTCCAGGTCCCTGATGCTGACCGAGTGGAAGCCCTGGGGCACCTTCATCCTGCACGGCCGCGCCTGTGGGTACAGCTCCCGGACTACCACCTCCAGGGGCAGCCGGGGCACGGGGGCCACCTGCTTGCCAGCCACCGTGCGCAGCTGCGCTCCACCTTGCCCGTCAGACCTGATCTTGACGAACCTGCGGAAGTCGTGCTCGGGGCAGGGGTCTGGGTGCACACCCATGCGGATGGTCTGCGGGGAGCCGAGCTGGGCGGTGGGGGACCTGGCCGGGTTGTTGCTAATGTTCCACGGCTTGTGCTGCCTCACTATGGGCTGCTTATAGAGGGGCCTGGGTGTCAGCAGGGTGGGCTGCGGTATCTGCTGCAGGTGTTCTGGGGAGAGGTGGAAGCGCCTGGGCAGCTTGGGGATCTTGGAGACGGGGAGGGCCCAAGCAGGGGCGTGGGGCTTTTGCTTGATGTTGTGGGTCAGAGGTTGGTCTCGAGGCAGTAGCTTGCGATGGAACCACTTCTTGAAATCAGCTTGACTCAGGATCCGTTGTTCTCTCTGCAATGTCAGAGGCATAAGATAGCGGAGGAGGGCTGCTCCCTCTGTGCTTCTGTGGAAGGAGAGCCTGTGGCGATAGCCCTTGGATCCTCGGGTGTGATTGGTCAGACAACGTCCTACCTTAGTCTGATGGGAGCCCTGAGTCTGATGGGACAATCCCCTGCCTCATGGGAGCCCTTGTTCTGATGGAGAGACAACTATTGCCCCAAGGGAGCCCCTGGGCTGAGGGGCTCCAACCTGACGGAGACCCAGCCTCCACCCTCAGGGAGGTCTTCAGCTGGCGGGGGAAGACGCGGTCTCTGCCCTACAGAAAACCTTGCATCTCGAGGGAGGATCCCATATTGGTAGTGAAGACACATCCTGCCCCTAAGAGTCTCTGGTTTGATGGGAGAGAAAGGTTTATGAGAAGTGTAAGCTGCATCCTTGGCCCTGGGTGGAAAGCGGAGAGGTTGGGAAGGCCTGGAGCTGGGTGGCGCCAATCTGAGCAGGCTTCTTGGAAGGAGTTGGCTGGCCTTGAGCAGTCCTGTAGGGGGACACAGCTGGCTCTCCAGGCTGGGTGGGAATCACTTGGTCTGGCTGTCTGTTCGTGCTTCCACTACAGTTGACCTTCAGCTCATCACAGAACTGTCCCCTGTCTCCTAGTTCACTTCCTAGGCTGTTGCTAAGCTCTCAGGTGGTTTGGAGATTGGCCCAGCTCTGGAGGTAGGTTCTGCTTAGGCTGAGTCTCTCATGATAATTCCATCAGCCTTGCCCCAGACCTAGGTCAGTCGGCACATAGCTTTCCTTTAGCTTGAGGGATTGGAACGAGAGTGGACATAGGATCTAGTAAGGCCAGTAAGAGATAGGGGAGATCTGTAAGGGCCTGTGGGAAAGTTTAGAGCCACAGGAACAGATGCGCTTTGCCTATTCTGGACACAGGCGACTGTGAGGACTGAGAGGAGGGAGGGCTGAGAAAATGAGAGAAGTGTGGCCAGAACAGAGCTGGAACCCTAGATTTGCCAGTTCCCAAGCCCTCCCCACTCTGGATCCAATTAGGGTTCCCAGCATCTTTCTGGGTTTTTTTGGCTCTTGCATCCTATGTAATTATACCTGCTTACAATCCCTTAGTGACTCTCCTCTTCCCCAGCCATTGACCTGGGTCCCTGCCAAATCTCTAGCTTGTCACATCGAACCCCTGACTACTGAAATTGTACTTCTTGGCATACACACTTCTATGTGCCCCCCCCACACACACACACACAACACAGGGCTGTCTGTTCCTTCAGCCTGGTCAGCCCTTCCCTCCTTCCTCATATGGCCAACTGCTACCCATCGTTAAAGACTCCTCTTAAGTATTATCCTTCTGGCATCTCCTGAGCCCCTTCTCCTCTGTGGGAATATAGCCCATCTCCTCTACTAAACTTTTGAGAGAGAGTGGAAGGGAGGGAGGAGGGGGAGAGAGAGAGACAGAGAGAGAGAGAGAAACAGCAATGCGAGAGAGACATCTACTGATTGCCTTCCATATGGGCCCCTACTGGGTCTGGAGAGCCTGCAACCGAGGTATATGCCCTTGACTGGGAAGCGAACCGAGATCCTTCAGTTTGCAGGCCAATGCTCTAACCACTGAGGAACCAGTCAGGGCAAGATGGGTCTTTTTAACCAGTGCACTTCCCAATGAGGCAAGGACCTGGGTCTCATTAGAGATTCTCCTCCTCACCAGAAGGGGGCACTGCACTAGGGAGAGGGCTTCATAAATGCTAATTTAAGCTGCTTTAGCTTTCTAACACAAGACAAGACTTTTGACCTAAATAAGTGGCTTCTCAGGGTAGAATTTTAGGCAGAGGACGGGGGGAAGGAGGCTATCTGGATGGGACTGCTTCTCGTCACTAACGGCACAGGCGATTCCTGCCTCTGCTCACATGCCTAGGTAGCAGCTAATGCCCGGAGCCTCGGCAGCCCTGCCTTACTTGATACTCAGTCTGGTAGTCCTGCTCCATGAGGGCCAGCTGGCCTTTGAGCCTCTTCAGCTTCCCCATCTCACAGGCAAAGTCCTTCTTGTCCCGTTTCCACATGGCATCCTTCAAGAACCTGGTGCCAACGTGAGGATGTGTCATCCTCAGTGACTGGCTGCTGCTGAGGGCCAGGGAGGGGAGGAAGGGGGGAATAGGAGGGGCTGCCAGAGATGAGATGAGCAACATGATGCACCCCCACTGACCAAGGCCCCTCTGGCTAACTATTGATACTTCCTGTGAGGTGAGAGGCAAGTGTCTGAGGGACCGATCACTACCCTCCTGATGAGCCAGGGGCAGGAAGGCAGTGCTAAACCACAGGGGTGAGGCCTGTGGAAAGCCCCTGGGAATAATATCCTGGGAAGGGGCCAACTCCCAAGACTTCTCCCCCAGCCACTGGCTTCCCAGACCCTCCTCCTAAAGGCTCTGCCGTGGGTGAGGGCCCCAAGGGCGGGGCTGGAAGAGGGAAGGGGTGGCAGGCCGGAGGGGGTTCTCACACTCACCGGGCACAGACGCGGTGGTTCCATATTTTGCAGTAGTCGATGGGCTTGCAGCCTATGGCGTCGTGGGCGTGGACGTCGGCGCCGTTCTTCACCAGGACCTTCACACAGCTCAGCAGGCCCTCCCGGGCGGCCAGGTGCAGCGGCGTGGAGCCATTGCGTGTCTTACTGTGGGGGCCCGCCCAGGGGAGGGGGGCGGTCAGGAAGGACAAAGGGCATCTACCCATCAGGTTGGTGGGCAAAGCGGCTTCCAGGTCTGCTCTGCCACTAGCCCACTGGGTGACCCTGGCATGTCCCTTCTCTGCCCTCAGCTGGAAGAGGAGGATTTGGACTTAGTTGCGGGGGTGTGGACAGGGCAGAACTGCTGGGAGGAGAGCTGGGTCTGCTGGACCTCAGAGACCCCTGACCTCATCCTCGGAAATCAACCAGCCCTCCTGCCTCTTTCCACAAGCCTGTGCACCCAGGGCCCTGCCTCCTCCTCCTCCTCCTCCTCCTCCTCCTCCTCCTCCTCCTTCTCTTCCTCCTCCTCCGACCTTGCCGCACTCTTTCCTAGCACGGGGCCTTTGCACACGATGTTCACTCTGCCTGGGACACTTCCCTCTGGCTCTTTGCATGGTTGGCTCACCATCTTCCGGTGTGACCTTAAATGACACCACCTTAGAGGCGACAGCCCCTTCCAAAGTGCCTCTCCTGCCCGTTTGTTCTCTTCATACTCGGTCCTTTTCTTCATTCATTACTGTGCCCCTTTACTGTCTGCTCCTGCCCTGGAGGCTGTCAGCTTCAGGAGGGCAGGGAGCATTTCGGGCACGCCCTGCGGTGTCCCTCACCTCCGGCATGGTACTTAGCACGGAGTCCACGCTGTGGGAGTGAGCAGTCTCCTGTCTGCCTCCCATGCACTTCCCATGCATTTTCTCAAGTACCACAGAGTGACAGGCACAGGCATCCTCCCAGGTTTCAGCTGAAGACACGGAGGCAGCAAATAGCTCCCAAACCTCGCCGTAAACACACGTGGATCTCTTAAAGCTTCCAAAGCCCGGGCCACGCCCCAAACTAATTAAGTTACAACCTGGAGATGGCTCGCAGGCACTGGGCTTGGTGAAGCTGCCCACGTGACCCCCATGTCCTGGAGAGCCCTGAGGTTCAGGGTGGAGTGATTTGCTTGGGGTCTCGATGTTTGCTAGCAGATGGCAAAGCCGGGAGGTGAACTAGGTCTGACCTCTCCTGGAGCCGCCCAATTTTCTAACTGGTTCGCCCTGTGGGCTTCACGTGGGACCCAATTCTTGTCCCTCCGCAGCCCCTCTGCCTGTCCCGCATGGATCTGCCCGGTCTCCAAGCGGGCGTAGGCTGGACTCACCTGTTGAGGGATGCCCCATGCTCAAGCAGATAGTGAATGCACGGGAGGACCACGTTCTTGTTTTCCTTGTGGATGACGAGGTGTAGTGGTGTCTGGCCGTTTTTGGTGCGCAGGTCCACGGGAAACTCGTACTCCTCTACCAAGACCTGCAGGCACTCTAGCTTGCCTTTTTGGGCTGCAAAGTGGATGGCAGTGAAACCCTGTGGCAGCCAGAGGAGGGCAGGAGGGGGCTGAGCAGGATGGGGGGCCCAGGGTCCCAAACCGAACCAAGATAGCAGTTCCTTGGGTTTCCCCTTCCCCGCTTCCCTCTGACCCCTCCCTTCCCCCCCTCCCCCGCCCAGGAGTCACTCACACCCCTTTCCCACACTAATATTTGCTCACTCTTCCTTGATGCCCCCAAATGGCCCTCCCACAGTGGGGAGGTGAAGTAGGACGACCTAGCCAGAAAAGGACACCCGTGGGTGCCCTCTGCCAGGTGAGCACTGTGTGGGGAGCTCCCGGTGGGAGGGGAGGATCCTTACCTTGTGATCGGAGACGATTCCCTTAAGGTCCTGATTCAGAGAGAACCGCAGCCATTCCAGGTTGCCCAAGGCGGCCGCGAACCACTCGCAATAGCTGCCATCCGGCCTCTCCTTTCTGAGCGCAGAGCTGCTCCTGGAGACGCTCCCCGCCAGCTTTTCGGAGGCGCGTGTGGTGGGCGGGGGCTGCGCGCTCCTCGTCTCCCAGCCCCTGCCCTCGGAGTAGCACCGCGGAGGCTCCGCGCTCCTGCTGGCGAGCGGAGACTCGAACTCGTGCTGCAGGCAGGACGGTGGCGGGGCCGAGCCCGGGCGCCCGGGAGGGCCCTGGCCTGGGTCCAACACGGCCCCCCCGCCGCCCGCGCCCCCTCGTCCTGGAAACTGGGCATCTAACACACCCACCGCAGACCCAGAGACCATAGCCTCTGTTTCTGATTGTAACACGAATGAGTGCGGATTGGGGAAAAAAAAAATACAGAAAAAGACAAGGAAAAAAGCAGAACCACAATCCCACCACTCGCAGAAATCGCGGTCTGTTACGGTACGTTATGTCACTTAGGGTTACATTATGAGCTAATGTCGACCGACACTCCCCTTAACAAACTCACATTGTGACGTGACGACCGTGATCGTGGCCCTGGCCGTGGGGCAACCTCGGGAGGGATGCGCTGTCCTTTCCCACGCTCCGCAGGGAGCAGCGTGGCTCCTCTCTGGCTGCTTTCCTCCCATGGATTCCTGGAAGTCGAGCTACTGGGCGACAGGGAGTGAACATTTTATTAGCTATTGTTGTGTTTCCAAACTGCCCGAGCAAGGTGTTACACATCAGTGGGGTGGCAAGTTACGTGACTACTGTATCTCAGTTTCTGCAGCAGCAAAAGGGGATAATGGAACCCAATTCACAAGGAGGGAAGGGATGCAGCATTCAGAGGAGGCTGGCTGAGCAATTTGCTTATTTTAAAAATATATTTTATTGATTTTTTTACAGAGAGGAAGAGAGAGGGATGGAGAGTTAGAAACATTGATGAGTGAGAATCATCGATCAGCTGCCTCTTGCACACCCTCTATTGCGGATGTGCCCGCAACCAAGGCACATGCCCTTGATGGGAATTGAACCCAAGACCTTTTAGTCCACAGGCTAACGCTCTATCCACTGAGCCAAGCCAGTTTCGACAGCAATTTGTTATTATTAAAAGGAACTATTCCAACCAGCATGGATATCATGATTTTAAATAAATGTTCACTGCCGGGACCGGTTTGGCTCAATGGATAGAGCGTCGGCTTGGAGACTGAAAGGTCCCAGGTTCGATTCCGGTCAAGGGCATGTACCTTGGTTGCGGGCATATCCCCAGTAGGGGGTGTGCAAGAGGCAGCTGATCGATGACTCTCTCATTGATGTTTCTAACTCTCTATCTCTCTCCCTTCCTCTCTGTACAAAATCAATAAAATATATTTTAAAATAAATAAATAAATAAATAAATGTTCACTAATTTGTTAGTGGCAACAGTGTTCTAATTTGACTCTTGGTTTGCCAGCAAGGGTTAAACAATTGATTATCAGTGTTTTTCTCTTCTGGGACTTAATGCACCTCTTTTATTTCTTGGAGGGACTTAATGTATCTTTTATTGACTTATAAAACTTATTAACATAGTAACCCTTTATATATTTTGTTGTCATCAGTATTTTTCCTCAGTTTGCCTTTTAACTTTTTACAATATGCAGTAGTCAATCAGTGTTGTTACGAACAATCTATATTCTCACCCCATTCTCAATTAAAAATGGGCCAAGGACCTGAATAGACATTTCTCTAAAGAAGATATATATGTGGCCGATAAGCACATGAAAAGAAGCTCAAAGTTGATCAGAAGGGAAATAAAAATAAAAACCACAGTGAGCCATGTCACACCCACCAGGATGGCTATCATGCAAAGCACAGATAATAAGTGTTGTGCAGGGTGTGGAGAAATTGGAACCCTGGTTCACTACGGGTGGGAATGTAAAATGGGGTAGCTATTTCAGAGGTGCATGTGCAATCTGGCAGCCCCTCAAAACATCACACATGAAGTCCCCGTCGGACACTCAGTCATTTCAGACACTCAAGTGGGGCACCAAGAGAAATGAAGACAAATGTCCACACAAAGACTTGTCCATGAGTGTTCATAGCAGCATTATTTATTATAGTCAAAAGTGGAAACAATCACATGTCCATAAACTGATATATGGATAAACAAAAGGCAGTATATCTGTGCTATGAAATATTATTTGGCAATAAAAGGAAATGAATTACTCATACATGCAACAACATGGATGAACCTTGAAAATATTACGTTAAGTGAAAGAAGCCAGTCACAAAAGACCACTTATTGTATGATCCCACTTAAATTTAATTGTACTCATTTCAGAGAGGAAGAGAGGAGAGAGAGAAACATCAGTGATGAGAGACAATCATTGATCTGCTGCCTCCTGCATGCCCCACACCGGGGATCAAGCACACAATCTGGGCATGTGCTCTGACTAGAAATCGTACTGTGACCTGCTGGATCATAGGTCAACACTCAACCACTGAGCAACACTGGCCCGACTGTATGATCCCATTTATATGAAGTGTTCAGAATAGGCAAAGCCTAGGGCTTGGAAAGGGGCAGAACAGGGGTTTGAGGGGTTGGTTGGTAGTACAGGGTTTCTTTTTGAAGCAATGGAAATGTTCTAAAATTGATTGTGGGGATGGTTGCACAACTCTGTGAATATACTAGAAATTGTTGCATTGTACAGTTAAAAAACCGGTAAATTGTAGAATATGTAAGTTAAATCTCAACAAAACTGTTATTAAGTGAAAACAACCCTATGCCTTGCGGATACCCAAAAGCTTTCCCTAAGTGGCTGTTGTCATGGGAATGGGACTTTTATCCCCAGGGTCTCGTTCACGTCAGATACAAGAATTCTGGCTGGTTCCACACTACTTAATGGAACTCAGCCCTTTTCTGAAGTTCTACTCCTCCCATCCTCCTTGCCTCTTAGAAGTGTTCATGGCTTCCTTGTCGATGGGGTGGAGGAGTCAGGAGGGATGGTGCCATAGAAGGGCAGGCAGCTTTCAAAGCAACATCCAGTATCCTGGATGCGCTTCACCCATTTTTTAAAGTATATTTTATTGATATTTTTTTACAGAGAGGAAGGGGGAGGGATAGAGAGTTAGAAACACCGATGAGAGAGAAACATTGATCAGCTGTCTGCTGCACACCTCCCACTGGGGATGTGCCCGCAACTATAGTACATGCCCTTGACCGGAATCAAACCTGGGACCTTTCAGTCCATAGGCAGACACTCTGTCTACTGAGCCAAACCGGCTAGGGCTCTTTTCATTTCTAATTGGGGGCTTCTCCTCAGCCTTTCCCCCCCTCCCCATGTCTCTCAGGCTCTCTCTCCAGCAGCTCCCCATCCCTTCCTGTCAATGATCTCTTCCCTAGCATCTCTCAGACAGAGCTGGTTAGAGTCACACAAACCTTTTGTGGCCATCCTCCACCCAAGGAATACATAAAGATATCTCTTACAAAGATAAATATCTTCCAAAGAGAAATTCTGTCGTCGGCTGTAAGACACTCATTGTGGCTAGGGTTTCCTGTTTGTTTTTAAAGTGGAGAGGATAACTTAACAAACCTCCTGTCCCCATCACCTGCAGCTTGAACCATTATCAATGCTTTACCAATCTTGTTCTCACATAAGACAAAACTCTTCGTCTCAATTACTTTTCAATTTGGGGGCTTTTAAAATACAAATACATACAAATGCTCCTATCAGAACAAGACATAGAATACAGGCTTGACAATGGGTTCTTTCCCAGCGCTAGGAAGCCAGGTGGCGCGGTTGGCTCTGGTGTATGGAAGCTTGAGGAGGGGAGGGTGAGGGGGGAGAGGGGGAGGGGGGAGAGGGGGAGAGGGGAGAGGGGGAGAGGAGGCGGAGGGCAGGTGTCAGGGAGGGAGCGGAGGGCGGGGCTAGAAGGCGGTGTCGGACGCGGCGTCCTGCGGCGCCCCCTCGCGGGAGTAGAACTCCTCGATCACGCTCTGCGGGATGCGCTTCAGCATCTCCTTGGGGAAGATGCGCAGCAGCTTCCAGCCCAGGTCCAGCGACTCGAACACCGAGCGGTTCTCATAGGGGCCTAGGGACCGAGCACCACGAGTGTCAGGGTGTGAGTGAGTGTGTGTGTGTGTGTGTGTGTGTGTGTGTGTGTGTGTGTGTGTGTGTGTGTCAGGGTCAGGGGGTGACCGCCCCACGCGCCGCCTCACCCTGGTTGATGAAATTCTTCTCGAACTTCTGCAGGAACTCCAGGAAGAGCAGATCCTCGGGCGTGAGCGCCTCCTCCCCCACCACCGCCTTCATGGCCTGCACGTCCTTGCCGATGGCGTAGCAGGCGTACTGCGGAGGGGGCGCGGGCGGCGGTCAGCGGGCTCAGCGCCCAACCCTGGGGCCTCCGGGTGGCCGGGCTGGGGGGCCACTTTCGGGGAGGGGTTTTGCCAGGAGAAAAGCTCGGGGTCTATCTAGATCGGCCTCAGACCCTCAGCATCTGAAGCCAGCCCCGCCTCCTCCCCAACTTCCACCTCCTGGAGCCCTGGGTCCGCTGCTTCCTACCAGCTGGTTGGAGACGTCACCATGGTCCTTTCTTGTCATGCCCTCCCCAATGGCGGACTTCATCAGCCGCGACAGGGAAGGGAGCACGTTGATGGGCGGGTAGATCTGGGGGAGCAGAAGGTGTGGCGGAAGGCAAGGTCCAGACAAGGTCTTCCTTCCCACCCTGCTGCTCCCCCACCACCCATGGTGGTCTGGGTCCCCCTCCATCCTACAGAGAAGCGAGTTACACGTCCGCCTCCATCTCTCTCAGACTCCAGGGCTGGGTGTCTGCATGAGCAGGGGGAGCTGACAGGATAGCAGGAGCTGACAGGAAAGCCTCACCATTTCAAAAAGTTTGATGGTTGGACGAGACCAGGTTGAAGCTTACGTTAGTAGCTACCCAGAAAGAACCTGCCCAGCTGAAACCGGTTTGGCTCAGTGGATAGAGTGTAAGCCTGCGGACTGGAAGGTCCCAGGTTCAATTCCGGTCAAGGGCATGTACATTGGTTGTGGGCACATCCCCAGTGGGGGGCGTGCAGGAGGCAGCTGATCGATGCTTCTCTCTCATCAATGTTTCTAACTCTCTATCCCTCTCTCTTCCTCTCTGTAAAAAAAATCAATAAAATATATTTAAGAAAAGAAAAGAAAGAACCTGCCCAGCAAAGAGGGAAAAGTCATGGGGGTTGCCTTGAACACATATTCTAACCCAGTGGTCGGCAAACTGAGGCTCACGAACTACATGCGGCTCTGGAGCCGCGGTGTGCCGCATTGTTGACTAATGAGTTTGCCGACCACTGTTCTAACCCATCGGCACATTATTT